ATCAACACAGACAAAAACATACACATCCACCCACCACCATCAACACAGCCACAAACATGCACATCCACCCACCACCAACAACACAGACATAAACATGCACATCCACCCACCACCATCAACACAGCCAAAAACATGCACATCCACCCACCACCATCCATACAGACAAAAACATGCACATCCACCCACCACCATCAACACAGACAAACACATACACATCCACCCACCACCATCAACACAGCCAAAAACATACACATCCACCCACCACCATCAACACAGACAAACACATACACATCCACCCACCACCATCAACACAGCCAACCACCAAAACAAATGAACACACAGACATGCACATCAATCCATCCATCCACACGTACACAGACATACACATCACCCCAATGAAGATCCGGGGTAGAATAGGTCTGCAGCAACCCATGCTTGCCGTATTATAGACAAGTATGCTTGTCGTAAGAGGCGACTAACGGGATCGGGTGGTAAGGCTCGCTGACTTGGTTGATGCATGTCATCATATCCCAATTGCCTAGATTGATGCTCATGATGACAATCACTGGATTGTCTAGTCCAGATTTGATTATTTAGAGACCGCCGTGATATAGCTGGAATATTGCTGTGTGCGGCGTTAAACAACGAATAAACTAACAGACATACACATCAATCCATCCACTCACGCACACACACACGCACGCATGCACGCATACACACGCACATACACATCAATCCATCCACACAGACATACACACATACACATCAATCATTCACCCATCCATCCATGGTCATTTACTTGCAAACTATAGTTGAACATACATGTACAACATTCAGCATTTTTTGGCCTTTGCAGAATTTCTGCAAATATACCCTCAGTTCAGGTGACTTTGGTGTCTTATGCAATAAAGTGCAAGTTTTACAATACATATGTGTCTTGATTTGATTCTGGAAAGTATAAACTACAAAACGAAATTGTTGTCAATCCCGATTTTGGACTAAAATCTACTAAGTGTGTGTTTCAACAGATTGTGGAACATCCTAGCGCCCGCTGAAGGTGCAGGTGACCCACCTTTGAGCGTGTGAGGTGACCCACCAGTGAGAGTGTGAGGTGACCCATCGGTGAGAGTGTGAGGTGACCCATGAGTGAGAGTGTGAGGTGACCCACCGGTGAGAGTGTGAGGTGACCCACCTTTGAGAGTGTGAGGTGACCCACCCGTGAGAATGTGAGTGTGAGGTGACCCACCTTTGTGAGTGTGAGGTGACCGACCTTTGAGAGTGTGAGGTGACCCACCCGTGAGAGTGTGAGTGTGAGGTGACCCACCTTTGTGAGTGTGAGGTGACCCACCTTTGTGAGTGTGAGGTGACCCACCTTTGTGAGTGTGAGGTGACCCACCGGTGAGAGTGTGAGGTGACCCACCCGTGAGAGTGTGAGGTGACCTACAGGTGAGAGTGTGAGTGTGAGGTGACCCATCGGTGAGAGTGTGAGGTGACCCACCGGTGAGAGTGTGAGGTGACCCACCTTTGAGAGTGTGAGGTGACCCACCGGTGAGAGTGTGAGTGTGAGGTGACCCACCTTTGAGAGTGTGAGGTGACCCACCGGTGAGAGTGTGAGTGTGAGGTGACCCATCGGTGAGAGTGTGAGGTGACCCACCGGTGAGAGTGTGAGGTGACCCACCGGTGAGAGTGTGAGGTGACCCACCTTTGAGAGTGTGAGGTGACCCACCGATGAGAGTGTGAGGTGACCCACCGGTGAGAGTGTGAGGTGACCCACCGGTGAGAGTGTGAGGTGACCCACCTTTGTGAGTGTGAGGTGACCCACCTTTGTGAGTGTGAGTGTGAGGTGACCCACCGGTGAGAGTGTGAGGTGACCCACCGGTGAGAGTGTGAGGTGACCCACCGGTGAGAGTGTGAGGTGACCCACCTTTGAGAGTGTGAGGTGACCCATCGGTGAGAGTGTGAGGTGACCCACCGGTGAGAGTGTGAGGTGACCCACCTTTGAGAGTGTGAGGTGACCCACCGGTGAGAGTGTGAGGTGACCCACCTTTGTGAGTGTGAGGTGACCCACCTTTGTGAGTGTGAGTGTGAGGTGACCCACCGGTGAGAGTGTGAGGTGACCCACCGGTGAGAGTGTGAGGTGACCCACCTTTGAGAGTTTGAGGTGACCCACCGGTGAGAGTGTGAGGTGACCCACCTTTGAGAGTGTGAGGTGACCCACCTTTGTGAGTGTGAGGTGACCCACCTTTGTGAGTGTGAGTGTGAGGTGACCCACCGGTGAGAGTGTGAGTGTGAGGTGACCCATCGGTGAGAGTGTGAGGTGACCCACCGGTGAGAGTGTGAGGTGACCCACCGGTGAGAGTGTGAGGTGACCCACCGGTGAGAGTGTGAGGTGACCCACCGGTGAGAGTGTGAGGTGACCCACCGGTGAGAGTGTGAGGTGACCCACCGGTGAGAGTGTGAGGTGACCCACCTTTGAGAGTGTGAGGTGACCCACCTTTGAGAGTGTGAGGTGACCCACCTTTGTGAGTGTGAGGTGACCCACCTTTGTGAGTGTGAGTGTGAGGTGACCCACCGGTGAGAGTGTGAGTGTGAGGTGACCCACCGGTGAGAGTGTGAGGTGACCCACCGGTGAGAGTGTGAGGTGACCCACCTTTGAGAGTTTGAGGTGACCCACCTTTGTGAGTGTGAGGTGACCCACCTTTGAGAGTGTGAGTGTGAGGTGACCCACCGGTGAGAGTGTGAGTGTGAGGTGACCCACCTTTGTGAGTGTGAGGTGACCCATGAGTGAGAGTGTGAGGTGACCCACCGGTGAGAGTGTGAGGTGACCCACCTTTGAGAGTGTGAGGTGTCCCACCGGTGAGAGTGTGAGTGTGAGGTGACCCACCTTTGTGAGTGTGAGGTGACCCATGAGTGAGAGTGTGAGGTGACCCACCGGTGAGAGTGTGAGGTGACCCACCGGTGAGAGTGTGAGGTGACCCACCGGTGAGAGTGTGAGTGTGAGGTGACCCACCTTTGTGAGTGTGAGGTGACCCACCTTTGTGAGTGTGAGGTGACCCATGAGTGAGAGTGTGAGGTGACCCACCGGTGAGAGTGTGAGGTGACCCACCTTTGAGAGTGTGAGGTGTCCCACCGGTGAGAGGGCGAGTGTGAGGTGACCCACCTTTGTGAGTGTGAGGTGACCCACCTTTGAGAGTGTGAGGTGTCCCACCGGTGAGAGTGTGAGTGTGAGGTGACCCACCTTTGTGAGTGTGAGGTGACCCACCTTTGTGAGTGTGAGGTGACCCACCTTTGTGAGTGTGAAGTGACCCACCGGTGAGAGTGTGAGGTGACCCACCTTTGAGAGTGTGAGGTGACCCACCTTTGAGAGTGTGAGTGTGAGGTGACCCACCTTTGAGAGTGTGAGTGTGAGGTGACCCACCTTTGTGAGTGTGAGGTGACCCACCTTTGTGAGTGTGAGGTGACCCATGAGTGAGAGTGTGAGGTGACCCACCGGTGAGAGTGTGAGGTGACCCACCTTTGAGAGTGTGAGGTGTCCCACCGGTGAGAGGGTGAGTGTGAGGTGACCCACCTTTGTGAGTGTGAGGTGACCCACCTTTGAGAGTGTGAGGTGTCCCACCGGTGAGAGTGTGAGTGTGAGGTGACCCACCTTTGTGAGTGTGAGGTGACCCACCTTTGTGAGTGTGAGGTGACCCACCTTTGTGAGTGTGAAGTGACCCACCGGTGAGAGTGTGAGGTGACCCACCTTTGAGAGTGTGAGGTGACCCACCTTTGAGAGTGTGAGTGTGAGGTGACCCACCTTTGAGAGTGTGAGTGTGAGGTGACCCACCTTTGAGAGTGTGAGGTGACCCACCTTTGAGAGTGTGAGGTGACCCACCTTTGAGAGTGTGAGGTGACCCACCTTTGAGAGTGTGAGGTGACCCACCGGTGAGAGCGTGAGGTGACCCACCTTTGAGAGTGTGAGGTGACCCACCTTTGAGAGTGTGAGTGTGAGGTGACCCACCTTTGTGAGTGTGAGGTGACCCACCTTTGAGAGTGTGAGGTGACCCACCTTTGTGAGTGTGAGGTGACCCACCTTTGAGAGTGTGAGGTGACCCACCTTTGAGAGTGTGAGGTGACCCACCTTTGAGAGTGTGAGGTGAAACAAATGGGGTTATGGGAGAGGTGCACTTTGTCTGCACCGTGGAACAGCATGCATACATATTTATGTCCAACTTTAGACTACTTATGGTTAGGTTATGTTATGTTACATGCAAGTCTGGCAGTTGATATGGGTGTGTCTGAGATATGGGGTCAATCATTCAGGAACATTAACAAGCAGCAAAGGGGAATAATACTTGATGAGGCATATATTGATCACAGTTATTGTTATAGAACTGAAATTAATATGGAATGATTGACGACCACAATGAGCAGTTGATGGCAGTCTTCCTGTCTCTTTGAAAAGATTTTGTTGAGTAATTTATTTTCCTATTTGAACACTTCACTTTTTAGCATCAGGGGATTAATAAACACTTGATATATTCACTCATGAGGATAAAATGACCGCTTCCGTGGTCTAGTGGGAGAGCGTCCACCCGGAGAGTGGAAGGTCCGGGGTTCGATCCCCGGCCACATCATACCAAAAGTCATTAAAAGATGGTACTTCTTGTTACCCTGTCTGGTGCTTGGCATTAAGGGGCTAGAACAAGGACTGGTCGACTCGGAGTCAGTATACTGTGTCTGAGTAGGGTATTTATGTTAAAACTGCGGCATGGTATCTCAGTGGGTTAGCACTATAAATCGGCATCAGTCTGGACTGGTAAAAGCAGTCACACACACACACTCTATTATAAGTGCAATAATCTTGGACGCGACGTTAAACCCCATTTCACCTCACCTCACCACGACGATAAATGCTTATTTGACAATGGTGGTATCATAATTGTGATGGTTATGATGATGATGATGATGATGATGATTTTCCTGGTTATGATGATGATGATGATTTTCCTTGTTTGCAGGAAAGGCATGAGCAGCACCAAACGGGGGTTCTCCCCAACTGTCCCGGCGGGCATGGAGAGTAAGAAACCTCCTCCCCCTCACACAAATAATGGGAGTGGTCCACCACCCCTCAAATACAGCTCCGAACCAGTTGATGATGTCAATATGAATGAAGTTATTGACGGAAAAATAGAATTGGAGGTGATTTTACCTGGTGGAAAGACAACACAACTAACAGTAGACTCAAAGTAAGTAGATCTTTTTTATGTTTTTTGAACAATATATCTTTTATTGCACTCACATGCACTAATTGGCCAGATTTAAACTGTCAGTTCATTGCCTCATTGCACATTTGGAATCTGTTGAAATCAGTCAAATTATTGCCAGGTTAAAGATTGTAAGACATTGTAAGGGGAATCTTTATGTTGATGTGTCTGGTGCAGAGCTCAAGATAGTTTAAGATTGGTCTTAAAAACTTTAAACAAATAAGATAAAATGATTATTGAGATATTTTGTTTGGTCTGAAATGTCTGTTGGTTAGTAATAATGTATGCGCAGTTGTTATAAATCTGCATCATCATATTTCAGGTTTGATTTTTGTTCCTACATGTGTTTGTTAAGAGGTTTCAGGTCCTATTCCAATATTTGAAATACTGTATTGGCGAAGATGTTTCTTAATTTGTTTGGGGATATAGAAACGTTAAGTCCAGCTCCTGACAACTTGTTTTGGGATATAGAAATGTTAAGTCCAGCTCCTGACAACTTGTTTGGGGATATAGAAACGTTAAGTCCAGCTCTGGACAACTTGTTTGGGGTTATAGAAACGTTAAGTCCAGCTCCTGACAACTTGTTTGGGGATATAGAAACGTTAAGTCCAGCTCCTGACAACTTGTTTTGGGATATAGAAACGTTAAGTCCAGCTCCTGACAACTTGTTTTGGGATATAGAAACGTTAAGTCCAGCTCTGGACAACTTGTTTGGGGTTATAGAAACGTTAAGTCCAGCTCCTGACAACTTGTTTGGGGATATAGTGCTTGCTCTTTTATATAAGTTCTAAACGTTTCTGTATATGTACATATGAGGAAAAACATGTAGATATATTAAGTTTCTTTATGCGTCATTTTGAGAAATGCTCCTATAGGATATGAATGTTTGTTTAAGTTGATTACCATGTATGCTTGGTCATACAATGGAGGAGGAACTGTATAGATCCAAGGCATTTGTATCATTTCCACTTGCATCGGTTTCAACTATGGGAGTTTCTGTATCCAGAACATCATGCACAGCAATGCAAGACCAAGTTTTCTATCAATATGAAACACTTATCTCAGCAGTGATGCATGTCTCATCTGTCTTGTCCCACTTTTCCAAAAGCTTGTTAATGTCACCCCTGTTAATTTCCCATAAGTTGCTGCCTGTCATGCAAGTAGTCATGTGTAGGAAGTAGGTTTCTAACACTGTCCTTCACCTCTGTGTCGTGTTGGGCCCTGTCGTTGCCATACATCTATAATAGTCACACATTTAGATAATTCTGATGATAATAATAACACATCTGTCAACCAGCATTGTAAGATATTCAAACTATTAAAAAATAGAAGAAGTTGTAGACTCATATTGGTATCTTCTATACTGTCACAACTGCTTCATGTTAATAGAAGCAGCAGTACATCATAACGGTGTAATATGATTATGTGAGGGGCACGGCCTGGAATTTAATTGGTTATACCATATACAGTTTAGTACAATGATATATACTGTTTGAATGTTGTATGGTCGTATATAGATAGCACAACTTCCACCATGTACCAAACACTGGACACTGCATCCATGACATCAAACCAGGGATTGTAATGACACACCTCCCTAAACATGTAGGACTTATCCTGTACTTTCTAACTTCAAATTTGTTATCTATTATCCATGTTCTCCATGTCAGGTATCGAATTCCCTAGCTTACGTTGTCATAAGGCGTCGCTGCTGTGTCAACAGGGTCGTGTGTAGATTACAAGGAGTGTGCACATGTTTGTGGTTAAATCTTCTGATAACTGTGCAGGATGGGTTGAGATCTGTTTTAGCATGTTTTAGTGTGGCCCAGATAGTTTCATAGTGTGTGACTCCTCTAGGATAGACTCATTTGCATGCTTTACAGATCTGCCAACCTCAAATATTGAGCAGGTGGCAAAAAAAGAAGTATTATAAATGTTTAGTTTTTCACTGCTGATCTCAACCATTAAATAAGTGTTACAAACCAAATGTGAAAATAATATCAGATATAAAAAAATCAACCTGTCTGTGAAAAATGGCTTCTTGTGTTGGAAGCACACTGTATTGTGTTTGTCTGACACACGTGATGGCAGTGTTGCTGGAAAGATTATCAAACACTAAGAAAAGTATAAATTAATGAGATGGACATCTAATGCCTCATGGTTACCCTTTGTCAGCATGTGTGGGATATATTTACATAGAACTTCAGCCATTCACCCATTTCTACCTCTTTCCATGGTTTTGAAGAGTTGCCACGCATCCTGACTTGATGAAATACACCATACGTAGTCCTGTGAACATTCCTGCTTCTCTCACATGTCAGTATCAGTTGACCATCACAAGCAACACATGTTTGAAGCAGGGTGTGTTTACAGTCACAAATCATTGGAGTTATTTTGACAATAAGGTAACAAAGCTTTGGGTATGTTCAATAACAAAACTGATGCAAGAATTGCAATATATCGTATTGAAATCAAAATTGAACAGTGAAACACCATCTTGCATGAGGACAAGGAAATTATTTTGGCATACATGTCCATTATTGTCCCTCGCCGCGCGAAAGCGGGTGATATAGTATTCACGACCGTCCGTACGTCTGTATGTCCGTACATCCCACCTGTTTGTTGCCGCGATATCTCAAGAACTAAAGACTGGATTGTCTTCATATTTGGAACTATGGTGTATATACAGACTCCGCAGACACCAGTCGGTTTTGGTGACCTTGACCCCATTTTCAAGGTCACAGCAGGCAAATATGCTTTTGGAGTTGGAAAACGGTGTTGCCGCGATATCTCAAGAACTAATCGCTGGATTGTCTTCATATTTGGAACTATGGTGTATATACAGACTCCGCATACACCAGTCGGTTTTGGTGACCTTGACCCCATTTTCAAGGTCACAGCAGGCAAATCTGCTTTTGGAGTTGGAAAACGGTGTTGCCGCTATATCTCAAGAACTAAACACTGGATTGTCTTCATATTTGGAACTATGGTGTATATACAGACTCCGCATACACCAGTCGGTTTTGGTGACCTTGACCCCATTTTCAAGGTCACAGCAGGCAAATATGCTTTTGGAGTTGGAAAACGGTGTTGCCGCAATATCTCAAGAACTAATCGCTGGATTGTCTTCATATTTGGTACTATGGTGTATATACAGGCGGGGAACATTTCGTCACTTTGTGACAAATACTTGTCTATTGGATGGAATTAACTTGATGCGGTGATTAATTTCATGTTGTCAACTGTTGACAATGCTGCATGGCTGGGTGAAGGCGTCAGAGCATGGAAGAAGGTAGAAACATGGCACTACAGGTGCCAAAGTCAATATGTTCTGTTACTGCAACACATGACCACAAATAGTAGGAGGTTTTGGATGTCTGTCTCACAAATTTCAGTTCAGTTCAGTTCAGCTATTTGTTTTCAAGGCCATATGGCCCATATCACATACATGTATGTTATACAATAATATTACATTGCACATGCATCATGGAAGTGGATTACATTTCCGTTCTAATTTTAAATACAATGTACATATACTTTAAAAGAAGAAATATCTTCCCAAGTCTTATACAATTAATTATAGACATATCGTGGGCTTGTTTGTTTGTCAAAAGTGGGTATGTGTATCTCTAAACAGAGGACATACAAACAAAACATGCTTTTCATCTTCTAGACCTGTACAGTGTGAGCAGAGAGTCTTCATCACCTCCATTATATTTTCCGCTACGTACGCTTTGAACACCAAATGTATTATATCCTCCTGTAAGTTATATCAAGGCCTTTCTGTAAGTAAGTACATTAATATATTGTACATATGATTCAAACAGAAATTCTGATGATTTCATGGTTGAATAAAATTCAAGTAATCATTTATCTATGAGAAGTGAATGCCAGTTTTGTTTTGCACAATCAAGAATATGCTGTTTCAGAACAAACATTAATGTTTTTTCATTTCCAACTTTGTGGGATATCCAAACATGCCCCAAGCTGTAGCTAAACAGCAAATGTCTGATAGGAGATTCCCAATTTAAGGATATATATCACAGGTATTGGGCAGCATTCAGTGACACTGATGCGGATGACTAAATGTGGGCATAGATATAACATGTAACAAATATTTAATACATATGACATAATGTTTTGTTAAAGTGGATATCTGCCACAGTCACCATATGCAACAGCATTTGGCAAGCAATAACTTATGTTTTAAACATATTTACAAAATTTTCTATGTACAGTTTCTATATCTTTCCTTTGAGTGTATCTCCACAAATCACCACCATACAATAAAATTGGTACAATTTTGGTGTCAAATATTTGAAAGCCATTATAAGCATATATATTGTATTTGCACACTAGCATTTTAATAGTGCTCAGCACTGTTCTGCAAGGCTATTATTAGAAGGAGGAGTTAGGATCGTATCATTAGCCCATGGTATTTGAAGGAGCTAACAGTTAACTTTACCAACATATAATACTTTCCTAGTTTTAGCAAATCTTTCCATTGATACCAAGCCATTTCACAACACAACAGTGTTACAGTGGGTACTGGGTGTTACAGTGGGTATTGGGTGTTACAGTGGGTACTGGGTGTTACAGTGGGTACTGGGTGTTACAGTGGGTACTGGGTGTTACAGTGGGTACTCAGTGTTACAGTGGGTACTGGGTGTTACAGTGGGTACTGTGTGTTACAGTGGGTACTGGGTGTTACAGTGGGTACTGGGTGTTACAGTGGGTACTGTGTGTTACAGTGGGTACTGTGTGTTACAGTGGGTACTGTGTGTTACAGTGGGTATTGGGTGTTACAGTGGGTACTGTGTGTTACAGTGGGTACTGGGTGTTACAGTGGGTATTGGGTGTTACAGTGGGTACTGTGTGTTACAGTGGGTACTGTGTGTTACAGTGGGTACTGTGTGTTACAGTGGGTACTGTGTGTTACAGTGGGTACTCGGTGTTACAGTGGGTACTGTGTGTTACAGTGGGTATTGGGTGTTACAGTGGGTACTGTGTGTTACAGTGGGTATTGGGTGTTACAGTGGGTACTGTGTGTTACAGTGGGTACTGTGTGTTACAGTGGGTACTGGGTGTTACAGTGGGTATTGGGTGTTACAGTGGGTACTGGGTGTTACAGTGGGTACTGTGTGTTACAGTGGGTACTGTGTGTTACAGTGGGTATTGGGTGTTACAGTGGGTACTGTGTGTTACAGTGGGTACTGTGTGTTACAGTGGGTACTGTGTGTTACAGTGGGTACTCGGTGTTACAGTGGGTACTGTGTGTTACAGTGGGTATTGGGTGTTACAGTGGGTACTGTGTGTTACAGTGGGTATTGGGTGTTACAGTGGGTACTGTGTGTTACAGTGGGTACTGTGTGTTACAGTGGGTACTGGGTGTTACAGTGGGTATTGGGTGTTACAGTGGGTACTGGGTGTTACAGTGGGTACTGTGTGTTACAGTGGGTACTGTGTGTTACAGTGGGTATTGGGTGTTACAGTGGGTACTGTGTGTTACAGTGGGTACTGGGTGTTACAGTGGGTACTGTGTGTTACAGTGGGTATTGGGTGTTACAGTGGGTACTGTGTGTTACAGTGGGTACTGTGTGTTACAGTGGGTACTGGGTGTTAAATCCTGCAGGGGCCTTCATGGAGATTGTTACCCGAATTGTTATAAGTTTGACAGGTAGGAAAAGTAATAGAAGTAAAATGTTTTAAATCCTGTGACAAGAAACGGGAAAAGACAGAAATCCCTTTGCACATTTGTGTGGGACAGGATAGCTCCAGGTGTTGCCTATGTGACATTCTGTATGATTGTTAGTCTTACTGATGACCATGTTAATGTATAATGATGTTTTCTTACAGTGCCATGTTGTCAGCCTTCACCAGTCACCTGAAACCTGTTTCTTCACGTCAAATATATTCCAGGCTTTTGTGTTTAGCACAGTTCATATGTAACTCCATTACCAATCTGTCACACTGTAAACTAAGTGTCTGGTCTCCAGGAACCTGGATAATGTTTGTACTGGCTCCTGGTGTACTGGAATCTGTCATCATGCATGAGCCGTCCAGTGATAGGAACTCCTTGTAGTGTGGGATGTATAACAAAAGGATTCAGGACACTGAGGTTGTCACAGCAGATGAAATGAGAACCAGGTGGTCACAATTCATGACTTCGCTGATTGTGTGTTATCATTAAACATGGAGAAGTCTCCATTCTCATAACCATTGGTTTCAACTAGTTGTTTCCTATCTGCTCTTGTTAGGACACAAAGCATTCATCTGTGCAGTGAGATATAATCACAGCTAATGAGACAAGTGTACGTGTTCTGCTTCTCCAGCTATAGGCTCAAACTAAGATACATCTTCTTGAGAAGTTGTTGGAAAGTTCTAAAGTTATGCATTTACTGCAAGGGGTGATTCCAACAATTGTTGTGGTGAGGTCTGACAATTCTCACAGTGAAATTTCTCACCTCATTTGGGTTTTTGCAATCTGACAATCATAGTTGAACTGGTTGTCTGCATGCCACCATGTTTTTGCTTTGAAATTTGCCATGTGGCAAGGTATTGTTGAATTTTGGACGCATATTTCAGGGTTGTTTTTCTGAATGTCACAGTTTTGAACTGAGCATACTAAAGTTTGGATTGTCAGCGTGAGGTAAGGTGTTAATTGTGGTGGAAGTTGTCCATGTTGAGTCATAGGTTATTTGGGGATGTTCTCAAGTAGACAATATTCAACTGAAAGTGGTTACATCAACTTTGGAGAAATTAATTCTAACTGATTTGACATACATTTTTATGGATAGGTAGCCAAAAACAGGATTGGACTTCCAACATGAGTAAAATATGGAAAACCCATTCCAGGTGTCTCCTGGTATAATAGGACGCGAACAGTGCTAAATGTGGCCTTGCACCACTCACTGTGTTGACAACTGGTGTGTCGGGGACAGATGTGTCTCAGGCCACAGAGATACTGGTGGGTTGTTGCTGTCTACACTGTCAAGCATCATTCCTTCCCTCACCGACACAGCGTGCATTGATGTTACCTCACTGATGTAACAAATCTAAACACGCTTTTCTTTCAAAGTGATGTAATCTAATGCAAGCAGATCTCAAACAGTCCCCAAACTGCTGCCAGTATGTTGTCAGTGTATGAAGACAAACACAATCAGTGGTATGGGGCCTGTCAACACAGGCAACCCAAACACTGCCAGAATAAGCAGTGGGGGACTCGGGACTGAAGCACATCCATTTCCACTGCTTTTCTAGCAGACACCTAACACCACAAATCAAATATTAATCTTCTGTTTACTCATGCAACAATGGTTGATATTTGCGAAAAAACAAAGTCAGACCACTTGGCACAACAATCGTCATTCACAGCAAACCAGGCATTCATTGATCGGAATAATGACTGAGAAAAGCTGCTTAGCTGGATCCCTGAACTTGAGATAAAAATAACTCCCTGCGACCTTGCTTCATTAGCTTCTACCTGTCTGAATGTCTTATCTCCATTGACAGGGTGAAGAAACTGAAGTTTGCACCTTATGATTCATCATTACCCTGTAAGGTGTTGGGTGTCGTAGTGGACATCACTCAGCATGCAGTCAGTAGGAATGTGTACAAGCATACAGAATGAGTTAACCCTTTCAGTCATACCAGCTCGCAGGAAACTGCTTTTTACATCAATGAGATGTTTGTTAAGCTGCCATTTTGATAAAAGTTAAAATTCACAATATTTTATGGACATATTACTCTGACATTTTAGTTCATTGTGTAAATAAATATTTGAATTTCATTTTCTTGATTTCATCAAGGTTTTATGACAGCTATAACACAAGGCATATAAGGGGTTATGTGTGTACTTGATCCTCATGACCCCAGTGTCGAGGTACCGCAGTGACGAGGTACCCCAGTGACGAGGTACCGCAGTGACGAGGTACCCCAGTGTCGAGGTACCGCAGTGACGAGGTACCCCAGTGACGAGGTACCTCAGTGACGAGGTACCCCAGTGACGAGGTACCGCAGTGACGAGGTACCCCAGTGACGAGGTACCTCAGTGACGAGGTACCCCAGTGACAAGGTACCGCAGTGACGAGGTACCTCAGTGACGAGGTACCCCAGTGACGAGGTACCGCAGTGACGAGGTACCGCAGTGACGAGGTACCCCAGTGACGAGGTACCGCAGTGACGAGGTACCCCAGTGACGAGGTACCCCAGTGACGAGGTACCGCAGTGACGAGGTACCCTAGTGAAGAGGTACCCCAGTTCACCATGTAGTGTAAATCAGCATGCCAGACATCCTGTGATATTTCATATTTGAAGTAGTGTCATTGTACAGTCCTTGACAATGAAGACATATTTGAATAGAAGAATCGTATCATCAGGAAATGAATATATCCTATCATAAGAAGATTTCTTTCATGTTTTATTTCCTTAAGAAACGTCATTTAAGTTCATTTTATTTTCTCTGTATTACTTTTTTTTATCTATTGTCTTTTGCAAAAGAAAATACTTATTATTAATATAATTTCTTATCTCACCTCTTTTTATCACAAAATATTTTTTTACTTATTTGGAAGCTGAATTATGTAATTTTTATTCAGTGATAAGAAGGGTGAAGAATGTTTTTTTCAATGATGTATTAATGATCCTTTTCGTGAAGCATTATCATACAACTATAGATAGCACTGATCAATCAGTCAGCATCTCATTAGTGTAAACAAACCTAGGTACCTTGAACATACACTCATTATAGACAACGTTTAATGGTCATGGTCATCAATAATCAGAAATGATTGTGTGATGAAGTCATGTGTAAATCCCACTTAGTTACAGTGGCTGTTCTGAGAGGAGAGATACCATTGTGGTATTGCTATTGAATTGAGAATGGATTGTTTCTGGTGTAAAAGATAACAATGTGTTAGCATGTGATTCCAGACTGCCAGTTGCTCACACTAAAAAGTACTCACTAAAGGTAACAGTTGGAGCTTGTGTTAAGGCTATGTGGATCCCAAGTGCATCAAGAAAGAAAGGTTCAAGTCATAATGTTTTGTTTTGGAGCCTGTTGTAAGATTTGGTAAAGTCAGTGTTTTTTGTTGATGTAATGAGTGAGTAAGTGAAGTGTTGTTTACACTGCAGTTTTCAGCTATATTCTCTAAAAAGCTCAGTATAATTATTTGAAGCCACTAGAGCATATATTGTGGTTCAGTGAGACTAAGGTGGAAATATAGTGTGGAGTAGACAGCAGTGCTGTAAGTAGTGGGGTGCAGTTAGTATGTCTGCCTACCAAACTATCACTGACCTAGTACATATAGGGAAATACTGTTGCTGTCTCACAATAGCCCTGTTATCTGCAGGCAGGAATCAAAAACTCTGTCCACTTACCCGGGACATTTGCTTACCTCAACTCTGACTGGGATTTAGTGACTTCATTAATGAAAAAAACAAAACCATCAGGAAATCATGCAAATGCCCCTGCAAGTACAATGGGGGCTGTTTCCCTGGTCCCCTACTGTCCTTCATTAGTTGGGGCTATTGTCTGGGCACACCACAAACCAAGCTGGGAGCTTGATGGGGCGAATACTATAAGGCTGTACACAGGGACAGTTACTGAGCTGGAACACCAAGACTTGGCTGGCTGTCAGCTTTTGTCAGGCTTACCTGGATAGCAGGTCACATGACCTGCTGAACAACTCGTCAGTGTTACCTGAGAAAGAGATGGACATGAGAGGTGTGCTTGTTTGACATAGCTCGACAGCAAATATACAATTTGTATGTGGGATATTTTATGTGGATATGTGCAGGGATTGTGTGTAGTGGTCATTTTCACCTGGTGGGGATTCTAATTTGGATTTACCTGTGGTATTACACGAGTCCTAGCCATGTTTGGACGTAAGAAGAAACAGGTTTTGAAGGTGGAGGGAGGTGATAAGGTAAGTGTTGTTAGTTTTGTCACCAACAATTTTATCCATTTTCAGCGTTCCAATGCAGGACCTTAGAGTTCTTCTGGCAGCCAAAAGCAAAGTTTCTCCCACTGGGTATATACTGAGTGTATTTTCGGATGAGACAGGCAAACCTTTGGATTATAAAGCCAATCAAACTATTGGTTCATTGGAAGGACGGACTGTTCAACTCCAGTCCAAAAGTAAGGAAAAAGAGGTTGAAAAACGAATGATGAAGAAAGACTCATCAAAGAATTTACAGCCATTTGAGGTAATATGTGATTCATGATGAAGTTATTTGATTACATTTCAGCTGCCATTGTTGTCACCTGACAGGTGAAATTAACATGATTATAATGAGTGTTTATATTGTGGTCTGTTTCCAGGTATTACTCACCAGTCGTGGATTGTAGTATAAGCAGTCACCATACCTGGAATGTCATCTCGGACAACATAGTAATTAGGAGTTGTTGAATTCAAAAATGTATTCTGTAAATAGGACAAAATTCTAGATGTATTGTTAGGATCACAATACAGGAACAACAATACTTTCACTGACACCAACATGCCTGTACACTAGTTTTGTCAGCAGTCTCCCCCAAGCCCCACCTTTCCCCCAGCCCCATCTTCCCCCCAGCCCCAACTTCCCCCCAGCCCCACATTCATCTGAGCCCTACCGTCCTCCCAGCCCCACCTTCACCTGAGCCCCACCTTCCTCCCAGCCCCACCTTCCCCCCAGCCCCAACTTCCCCCCAGCCCCACATTCATCTGAGCCCTACCGTCCTCCCAGCCCCACCTTCACCTGAGCCCCACCTTCCCCCCAGCCCCACCTTCACCTGAGCCCCACCTTCCCCCCAGCCCCACATTCATCTGAGCCCTACCTTCCTCCCAGCCCCACCTTCCCCCCAGCCCCACCTTCACCTGGGCCCCACCTTCCCCCCCAGCCCCACCTTCATCTGAGCCCCACCTTCCCCCCAGCCCCACATTTATCTGAGCCCTACCTTCCTCCCAGCCCCACCTTCCCCCCAGCCCCACCTTCACCTGAGCCCCACCTTCCCCCCAGCCCCACATTCATCTGAGCCCTACTGTCCTCCCAGCCCCACCTTCCCCCCAGCCCCACCTTCCCCCCAGCCCCACCTTCACCTGAGCCCCACCTTCCCCCTGTGCCCCGCCTTTCCCCTGTGCCCCACCTTCACCTGAGCCCTACCTTCCTCCCAGCCCCACCTTCACCTGAGCCCCACCTTCCCCCCAGCCCCACATTCATCTGAGCCCTACCTTCCTCCCAGCCCCACCTTCCCCTGAGCCCCACCTTCCCCCTGTGCCCCACCTTTCCCCTGTGCCCCACCTTCACCTGAGCCCTACCTTCCTCCCAGCCCCACCTTCACCTGAGCCCCACCTTCCCCCCAGCCAAACCTTCACCCTGTTCCCCACCTTCCCCCTGTTACCCACCTTCCCCCCAGCCCAACCTTCACCGAGCGCCACCTTCCCACTGTTCCCCACCTCCCCCTGTGCCCCACTTCCCACTGAGACCCACCTTCCCCCCAGCCCAACCTTCACCCTGTTCCCCACCTTCCCCCTGTTACCCACCTTCCCCCCAGCCCAACCTTCAACCTGTTCCCCACCTTCCCCCTGTTACCAACCTTCCCCCCAGCCCAACCTTCACCCTGTTACCCACCTTCCCCCCAGCCCCACCTTCCCCCTGTTCCCCACCTTCCCCCTGTTACCCACCTTCCCCCCAGCCCAACCTTCAACCTGTTCCCCACCTTCCCCCTGTTACCAACCTTCCCCCCAGCCCAACCTTCACCCTGTTCCCCACCTTCCCCCTGTTACCCACCTTCCCCCCAGCCCAACCTTCACCCTGTTCCCCACCTTCCCCCTGTTACCCACCTTCCCCCAAGCCCAACCTTCAACCTGTTCCCCACCTTCCCCCTGTTACCAACCTTCCCCCCAGCCCAACCTTCAACCTGTTCCCAAATTTCACCTGACCCCGACCTTCACCTGAGCCCCACCTCCCCCTGTGCCCCACCTCCCACTGAGCCCCACCTCTCCCTGTGCCCCACCTCCCACTGAGCCCCACCTCCCACTGAGCCCCACCTCCCCCTGTGCCCCACCTCCCCCTGTGCCCCACCTCCCCCTGAGCCCCACCTGCCCCCCAGACCAACCTTCAACCTGTTCCCCACCTTCCCCCTGTTCCCCACTTTCACCTGACCCCCACCTTCACCTGAGCCCCACCTCCCCCTGTGCCCCACCTCCCCCTGAGCCCCACCTTCCGCCTTTCCCCCCAACATAGTTGGTATAAGATAGAATAGATAGAATAAACCAGGATATGAGAAAGAAAAATAACATCAATTCTATGAAATATGTCTACTCAGGATTTACAGCTATATACTTATGTTGCTGGTCATCTCATGTCTTCACCAACCCAATCATCAACAACACACCCAAACAAGAACATTCAAATCACAGGAAATTCAATCCACCCCACTCCATCCCTATTCACCCACCATCTTTCTCACCTCCTCTACAATCCACCCACCATCTTTCTCACCTCCTCTACAATCCACCCACCATCTTTCTCACCTCCTATACAATCCACCCACCATCTTTCTCACCTTCTCTACAATCCACCCACCATCTTTCTCACCTTCTCTACAATCCACCCACCATCTTTCTCCCCTCCTCTACAATCCACCCACCATCTTTCTCCCCTCCTCTACAATCCACCCACCATCTTTCTCCCCTCCTCTACAATCCACCCACCATCTTTCTCCCTTCCTCTACAATCCACCCACCATCCTTCTCCCCTCCTATACAATCCACCCACCATCTTTCTCCCCTCCTATACAATCCACCCATCATCTTTCTCCCCTCCTATACAAACTACCCACCATCTTTCTCCCCTCCTCTACAATCCACCCACCATCCTTCTCCCCTCCTATACAATCCACCCACCATCTTTCTCCCCTCCTATACAATCCACCCTCCATCTTTTGCACCTCCTATACAATCTACCCACCATCTTTCTCCCCTCACCATTACTCCCACCCGGGTCCAACTACCCACAACTTGACCCCACGCTGCTACACTCTGGAGGGGGGGTTGGTCCGCAGGGTCTATTGATTATTGTACCCACTCCCACAAAAGGTGGCAGTAATTAGATCTTACCACCTAAACATTCAAATGAAATGTTTGTGGAATGAATATCTATCCATAATGTCAGTCTTTACTGATAAACTATGCTCATGACTCCAAGGAGCAATTTTAACACACTATACCGTTATGCAGAAATGACAAGTTTTGAAAGAACACCGATATATTAAACCATGAACTATCTCAAAGTGATCAGAACATGGCTGATTGTGTATGACGGTAAGCATATAGGTACTTGCAACTGTAAGATGCTAGTGTACTCAATATGCTGTACACTGTATAAGTAACATTAGCCTGGAGTACACCCAGGAGTAAACCCACCTATTTCTGTTTGTTCTTTCCTACACCAGTACAGCTTGCAGTCTTCATTGTCTCCCCAGTGTTAATTTGCTTAAACTGGTAGGCTGTACCCACTTCCTGACTGACTGGTTGGGCAGACCACGCACATGCTGAATTGCCACCCTCCCCAGCTGTTCAGTTTATTCAGCATGCTGGGGTACTCACATGCTTAGATTAGACCCAGGTTCAATTCCATACAAGTTACAATCTGTGATATACATTCCTGATGTTTTTAAAATGTTACCTTACTAAATACACATATAGTTTAAGATGTTAAAAAAGAAAGGTAAAATTGTTTCAGTAGATTTGGCCAGTAATCACATCATTATTTCATATTTGCCTCTGTATTTCAATGTTTAACGTTACCTGATGTCGGGGCAAGTTAAGTTGTGTGCAATCTCTGCCCTGCACATCAGATGAAGGAGGTTTATTCTTGAACAACAACTGATGATTGCACAGGTTTGTGCTCCTGAATTCTGGCATGTCATATGGTGGCCATGACTGCCTGTTTCCATGCAGCTGTGTCAGGAAGGTGTGCCCCCGACCATCCAACTTGTAGTTGTGTCAGGAAGGTGTGCCCCCGACCATCCAACTTGTAGTTGTGTCAGGAAGGTGTGCCCCCGACCATCCAACTTGTAGTTGTGTCAGGAAGGTGTGCCCCCGACCATCCAACTTGTAGTTGCAGGCCTACTGCATACATGATATCTGTAGCATCAGCGGGACAGGTCTACTACATACATGATATCTGTAGCATCAGCGGGACAGGTCTACTACATACATGATATCTGTAGCATCAGCGGGACAGGCCTACTGCATACATGATATCTGTAGCATCAGCGGGACAGGTCAACTACATACATGATATCTGTAGCATCAGCGGGACAGGCCTACTACATACATGATATCTGTAGCATCAGCGGGACAGGTCTACTACATACATGATATCTGTAGCATCAGCAGGACAGGTCTACTACATACATGATATCTGTAGCATCAGCGGGACAGGCCTACTGCATACATGATATCTGTAGCATCAGCGGGACAGGTCTACTACATACATGATATCTGTAGCATCAGCGGGACAGGTCTACTACATACATGATATCTGTAGCATCAGCGGGACAGGCCTACTACATACATGATATCTGTAGCATCAGCGGGACAGGCCTACTGCATACATGATATCTGTAGCATCAGCGGGACAGGCCTACTACATACATGATATCTGTAGCATCAGCGGGACAGGTCTACTACATACATGATATCTGTAGCATCAGCGGGACAGGCCTACTACATACATGATATCTGTAGCATCAGCGGGACAGGTCTACTACATACATGATATCTGTAGCATCAGCAGTACAGGTTTACTACATACATGATAGCTGTAACATCAGTGGGACAGGTCTACTACATACATGATATCTGTAGCATGAGCGGGACAGGCCTACTGCATACATGATATCTGTAGCATCAGCGGGACAGGTCTACTACATACATGATATCTGTAACATCAGCGGGACAGGTCTACTACATACATGATATCTGTAGCATCAGCGGGACAGGTCTACTACATACATGATATCTGTTGCATGAGCGGAACAGGTCTACTACATACATGATATCTGTAGCATCAGCGGGACAGGTCAACTACATACACGATAGCTGTAACATCAGCGGGACAGGTCTACTACATACATGATATCTGTAGCATCAGCGGGACAGGTCAACTACATACATGATAGCTGTAACATCAGCGGGACAGGTCTACTACATACATGA